GGATTGCATAATGAACAGCTGATTTATGGAAAACGTCAAATGAATCTCAATGTTCCTGAGGAAAGTCCTGGTAAATACTTCCCCTAACATAAAACCGGTATCACCAAGCTTCAGTGGCTGGCAAAATAACCCAATATTTTATTACTTCCACCTGCCTCTCTCTCAGTTCTTCGTGCGCATGTCTGCGTATTCTCAACACTTCGAGTGTGGAAGTCCAAGTCCTGTCAGGGCAAAACCTGTGATGAGAGCGCAGTAAGCGACGAGCAAAAACGAACCACTGGAAAAATTGGCGCTGCAATCAGCCGATTGCTCTCATTCGTAAAGAGGAGAGCCACATTCAAGATAGAGAGCGAGAGAGTGAGAGAGAAAGAGAGGGAGAGAGAGAGCCAGAAGACGGCGAGACATGCTGGGAAGACTCGGGCAATGGCGTGGCGCCCATTCACGAAAGTAAAAACAAACGGCCACCGAGCAAAATAGCCCAAATGTAAGACAAGCCGAGTGCCATGGATTTTTTCAATGATACATTGCACCATGTGTGCCTAAGTATATGTGCATGTGTGTATGCGTGCGTGTGTGCGTGTGTGCGCGCGAAGTTTAAAGAAGCAAGTAGTTGGTAAATATAATACAAACTAGCCAGTCAGCCCGAACAACAACTATAACGGCCACAAGCGCTGACTTTCTGCTCGACTATCCCACATATGCTTCCGCACATTTGCATTATCTTTACATACTTTGTATGTGTGTGCGATAAAGTATGTGTGAGTGTATGTGTGTGCTGGGCGCGGGCACGCCGAAAAGTATGCTAAGTAATTCATATTTGTTTTTGGAAATGTTCTTTCTTTGGAAAAGCGGGACCACCCACCAGACATTCAGAAATATAACTCCACCTGACTTTTGTTTGAATTCAGCAACTTTATTATGTGTTTAGAGATGCAAATTATTAATAGGCTGAAAATTGGGGGCTTTATTTTACATTGTTTATGCATAGTGTATGATTTATTTAAGTATAAATTCATAATCGAGTAGAAGCGGCTTTAAATTTGATAACACAAGGCTTTTTTAATGAATTAGAAGTAACTTATTTAAATAACACACTAAATAATAAATATTTATACACATTTTTAGCTTCAAGTCTCATTAATTGGAGTTTTGAAACTAATTTTTACACATTTAGCATTAACTTGAATATGATTTATAATTACTGAAGATATTTAAAAATAAATCAAAAGGAATGGATGATAAAGTTATTGCACAAATTAACGAATTTCATTATTATTATTTAGACAGTTTCTATTTCGTATTGCTAATAAGTGTTAACATTCTGAAGTAAAACAATTTTAAAATGTATTTGGTATTTATTTTTTACTCACAATTCAATCAGTCAAAATAATAATATTCCTAATTACTTTGAAATAAGAATATATATATTCATTTGATAAGGCAGCAGTGGATTGAATAAAATGTCTCAAATTTACACTTCTCGACACGTTTTTTAATTTATTTTAAATTATCACACAATTTCCATATATAACTCCAAGACTGATGCGAGTAGCCAATAAAAAACTATAAATTTTGACAATTGAAATTAATACAAACGCATACTTGTACTTACAAAATTTTATTAAGTTTGTTCTAATTTGTATTATACATAAGATTTCAGACACTAAGTATTGGAAGAACATAAGCATCCTATACTATTAATATACGTATTCCTGGAATAGTTCAATGAAAGCCCACAATACTCAGCAATAAAGAAGATAAAAACTCCGTGCAAATTTTAAACGTTAGCGCAGCTCTGCAAACAAACGCTGCTGGCAGCTCTGCCATATCTCCTGGCACTGGGCATTAAACGCTTAACTTTTGCTGTTGCTCTCGAACTTTGACAATCTAAGCAGTTTACTGTGTCAATATGTTGCGTTGGCATCGGGAGCAGCTTCTCAGTCCCAGTCTCAGTCTCGGTCGCAGTCGCAGTCACAGCTTTTCCACCTGCATAACTTATGCATGCAAATTTCCCTTGCTTGGTACTGTTTTTGTGCTTTTGTTGTTGTTGTTGTTGGTGCTGGTGCTGCTCCTGCTTGTTGACTCGATAAAAGGTGAAAGACAAAAACGCCAGGAAAAAAACGGGGCGAACGCAGTTGAAAATTGTATCAAATGCGGTTATTGCAGCGATTATTTTAATGGCTCTTCTTGTTGCCACATTAAACTTAACATACTTTTGGCCTGTCTTTGGCTGCTTCGGTTATTGGTTTTTGCGAATTCCCTTTCGATGCACGCCAGACATATTTGGCACCTGAAGAGTTTGTTATTTCCAATGGATTGGGCAAAAAGTTTCTTGCGTTTATAGCAAAGCAGATTCAAAGCAAATTATTATTATATTGACACAGTTCTTGCTTAGTGCCTGTGGTGTGGAGTGTTTATGCAAATTTAAGAGGTTTTGTTTTCGTTAATGTGAAAGTTTTTGAAATGCCATTCATTATAAACCAAGCGAATGCAATACCGCTGCAAAAGTTCAGATGTTGAATTCTTAAGCACCCGTTTCATACCATTTTTGATAAATTAAATAGCCGAATGTCAAATCAATTTGAATAGCAAAGTGAAGATTTAAGGGATAAGCAAATCAGCCGCAAGCCTTGTTGTAATGTATTTCAACATTAACATAGGCTAATTTTTGTTGTTCATAAATTAAATATTTGCTGTTACTTATTTCCACAGGACTCTTTAAGCACTCGCAGAAACATAATAGCTGTAAATGCAGAGAAATGTTTAATTTAAGAAAAGATATCAAAAATTAATTTATTAAAAATACCTTTTTTTGTTTTATTACTGTAGAGTCAAACCATTTACAAACTTTGCAGTGCTTAAATTTACAAATCTTAAAATAATGATAATAGTAGATAACAAATAATGTGAAAGTCTAGGAAACAGTAATGATTTGTTCTCTCATATATTTATCATAATCAGAGTTCTTGATTTTAAACAATAAATTTGTCAACATTTTATGCACTTCGAAGACTGAAAACTGAAACAAAGCAGAAAGAATATTTATTCATTTATTTGAAAATCATCTTTAGACACCTAATTGATTAAATTTCTACATTATTTACCATTATTTGCTATTTTTATATAATGTTGTAATGCACCAATAAAAGCAGTCAGAATAACATTGTATTGAAATATGTATATGGCTTCACACTTATTGTATTACTGTTTCTTAATAATTCCTTTTCAATGTCATAGAAGTGTTGCTGTTGACTTTGTGAACAATTTATTTTAAGCATAGAGCAACAAGGCAATGTTAAGCGGAAACTTTAAGCTGAACACACATTCCAGAATCCATGCATAAGCTCTTTATGTTCTGCTTTAGTTGAAAACCATGCAATGGCATATGATTTGAACTCAAATCAACCTGAACAACTGTCTTTATTTGCGACGTTGCTGCGGGGTCATGAATTATAAATAAGAAGCAACACAATTTCTGCTTATCAAATAGATCAAATATTATTCACGCAAAATTAACCACAGCGCGAATGTAAAATTTTCTAGTTGCTAAAATTACGTATACGCCATGTGCACAGTATAAATGTGAGTGTGTGTTGGTGTGCGTATTCACAAATGTGACATCAGACTTCATAATTCATAAAGTTCGTGCACAGTTTTCCTGCTTTCTTTTTAATTTACGCTAAATGTTGCAACTACGACTGCAGTCCCAAGGCCCCCCGCTCCACCATCAAATGCCACGCCCACACTCACGCCACACCAAATCGTTAGGGGGCTGTGTCGCCTTTCAGCATGGCTAGCAGTCTGCTTATATTTTATTTGTTGGTAAAAATTGCATTTATGAATTATTCAGTGAAGTGAGAAATTTGCGTTCTTTTTTTTTGGGTATTTTTGTCAAAAAATAAAAAGAATTTCTTTATTTTGTTGCTGTTGTGTGTGGTGACGTGTTGTTGCTGGGGTTGCCATTGCTGTGTTTGTTATTGTTGTTGCAGCAGCTTCCGTTGGGTCCGCTCGATACGTTTTTTAATGTGTGCGTGCTGGTTATCATCATTTTGGGTTAATATTTAATGTAAATGGCAGCAGGGCGGACTGCACGCAGTTGGTGGTTGGGCACACTTTGCGGTCGCTGTGGTCGCATTGATAATGCCGTCAGTTTCCTTCTCTTCCTCGTCTTGGTCCTGGTGCTGGTTCGGGTTCAGGTCCTGGTCCTGGTCCTGGTTCGAGTCCTCATTGGTCGTCGTCCAGTCAGCAGTAAAGTTAAAGTTGTGCGTATTTTGCATAAAGTGAAATGCTCGCAATGCTGAAAATGCGTATAAATTTTGGAATGCGGGAGTGCCCAGCAACACTAACAGCAACAACAATAACAACAAAATGTTTAAATACCGCTATGTAAATGATTTTCATGCTGCATTCACCATTTTCTTTTGCAATGGCCACCAAACGGGAAATGGAAACTGTTTATGCAGATCGAATATGCAGTGAACATTTTCTCATTCTTCTTATTATTGTTGTTGTTGTTGCTATTATTTTTGTAGTTGTAGTTGTAGTTGCAGTTGTTGTTGCGACTGCTGCTGCTGCTGCTGCTGTTGGCGTTGTCGTGGCAGCCTTTGTGGAATTTATGTTACCGCTTTTTCTTTTACTTCCACTCTGCGTTTCTTTTGAGTTGCACTCGAGGTGCAGGATGAAGGACTAAATGGGCTGTTCGTGGGTGCTTGTTGGTTGTCAGGTCGCTGTTGTAGCTACTAGCAAGAAGATATGTATTCTATATAAATTATAATTGTAAAAATATGCAGCGAACCTTGGTGACATTCTGGCTTGGACAACATGGGTAAAGGAATTTGTTCGCTTTTTATTCCCACAGTCTGCATATTTATGAAAGAACTTGTTTTCTATATTTGTTTGTCTATGTGACAGCCATGAGAAGGGAACACAGACAAACAGAATCCTTGAAATTCATTTTGATTTTCATTAATTACTGTCGTATCATATAAAAGCATTCCAAATTATAGAGCAATGCTTCCATTTATTGAAATGCACTTCAAACATTTTCCTACAAATTAATTACAATGCACTTATAATTTATATGTTTTCAGCCATGATTTTCTTTAAGCGTTTTCTCTCCTTTTTATTCAACTGATAAAATTTTTCGCTAGTGCGCTGCAGCTCCCGGCGGTTGTGATAAGGAGGCCACAAGGTCGTGTATGCCATGACGCTGAGAAAGGTCATAGTAGCTTATAAAAAATAAACAATTTATATGAGAATATGCCACCAACCGAACCATATAGGAAGCCTCAATCGCCGATGTTTGGCTGTCAACAAGCTGTTGAATTTCGCTGTGGAATTGCTCATCATACCTCTTCTTATCCTCATTATAGCGTATCTTGCAAACCATTTCGCTACGGAGAACGTACACTACAATATATCTATTAAAAACTAACACACACTCACTATGGTATCTTGAATCTGCTGTAGCTGGGATCGATCTGCAATACATCACAGTCATCTCCTTTTGGCTCATAACGCTTAAACACGGAGTTTTTGTCCACTATACTATCGAACTGGAAAGAGTTTCGCATGAAGGATGAATCGAGTTGGCTGCGGCGTAGCCAGGCCTTAAAGTACGTGACATGTTCCTCATTGGGAATATCCATAAATTTGATTGATCGCTTGGTAGAGCGATTTCTGAGTAAAGTGGACATGATTGCAATTACTTAACTATTACGATTATATGTTATTTTTTTTATTGTTTTTATAATTCTTCCTAGCACTTTGAAAGTGTAACTGAAACTAAGGAAAGTATACTTTTATTATGATGCGTAGTGAGGAAAAGGTTGCCTAGGTTTTGAACAAAAGCATCTTATTTTAATAATCGAAATAGTTAAATGGCTTTTATTTGGTTTGTTTGCTCACTCCAGAGAGACCGTCTTTTATGGCAGGCAAAGTTTTAAATATTTTATGAATCTCAAGCAGCCAGCAGCGTACAAAAGCACATAAAATCTCTTTTATGTTAATAAAAGCATTGCCGCGTCTTTTTTGCCTGTGAGTGTATAAAATCAATAAACTAAAGTAGACCATAATGAAATTATCAACTATCATGCTTACGCGCATAAACTTAAGGCAGCCCCACTCCCCCTACATGAACGCATTCTGCCACAGACACACACATACACACGCACACACACACAAATTTTCCGACCCCATTAGGCAGTCTGGCCAAGTGGCCTCAGTAAAAATATTCGTTAAAAATATGCAAAATATTTTAACCGAAAACCTTTCAAAAGATTTCAGAGAGGCGCCCAATGCTCGTTTGTGCTGGGGTGTGCACATGGCGTATGCGTAATTTTCTGTATCAGCGTAAAGTATGCGCGTGTACGGATGTGTGGTTGCGGGTGCACATTAATATCATCGACTTTTCCTTGAAAGTAATTCGATGCTGCGGTACAACAATGAAGCCATAAAAATGTATCCCGAAGAAGAACAACTTAAAAGTTTGATAGTTGACAAAAAGTTGCTCATATTTTGCATACATATACATATGTATGTATATATAGTAGGCTGGGAAGCTGTTATTAACTGGAAATTTGAAAGCAGCATTCAAGTGCCTATGGTTGCATGAATTACAAGGAAACGCAGGTGAATTTAAAAAGAAAAATTAAAAATATATTTAAAATACACTCATTTCAGCTAAATGGTTATACAGAAAATGATGTCCTTATATTTGACGACAATTCTATATTGTATCAAACAAATAAGGGTAAGATTCTACAATTGGTGAGTCATTTTGACAAATATGTTCAAGTTCAAATACCGATTCCAGTTCAAATACTGGTCTTGTGCCTCAACAAGTCAGCTGTAGCTTTATGCCACGCATTAATCGTTAAAGCAACATTACGTTAATTGAATTTCGTCCTTTTGAGCCAAACATAGCGGTATATGTTTCTAGTTAACCCATTCATATTATGGTTATTTTATCATTTAATTTGGCTTGGAGCTCAGCACCTTTCTCCATACTTCCCCACTTCACAATTCCCACAACATCCTGCCAAATGTATGCAGCATTTGCCACTGCATTTCGTCCTTCAGCTTTTGCAGCTGAATTTATGGTTTTAATCTTTTGGCCCAAACTTTTTTTGCTGCCAAGAATGCCTCGAACAGAGGCTCTGGTCCAAGCCAGAGCCAAAATAAAGCAGTCCAGCATTGCTGCGCCAATTTTATGGCTCAAGGACGTGGCACACTTCAAGGATACACTGCCTATGCCTGAATACTTTGCCATGTATTTGGATTTGGACGGGATTTGTTTCTCATAGTCAGAAGGCCTTCGGCGACGACGTCTTCTGTGTGGGTCAAGTGGGTGTTTCGGATGAAAATCAAGGCGTTAACGCGCTGTCAGAGCAACAGCGGCAGCAGTAGCAGCAGCAACATCGGCACAAAAACAACAACAATATGAACAGCAACACCAAAGGGCGGCCCGAAAATTGCGTAAAATCCAAAAACACAAAAGTCGCGAGCGCAGCCAGCAAATAAATCAAATTAAATGAAATGAAATAGTTGCGGATTTTACGCTGACAATGGAATGCAGCCGCCAAAACGGCAAAGACGCCAGAACGGCCACAGTTGCCATATTTAAGCAGCCAGTTGCGACGCCCATCTCAACATTTTTTATGCTGTTTGCCATACAATGAATAACAAATAAAACAGTCGAGCAACGGCAGACTGTTGGGTGACAAGTGAAAGTGAAGGCAACGGCGACAACAAGGACAACGACGCACAGCCCAAATTGTCCTTAGACATTGTTGTCGGCTTCTCTGCTTAACGCAGCCCCGACAACTTCGATGATGGCAACAGCAGAGGCGGCAGCGTCGGTCACTTTCGAGGACCTTGCCAAATCAAGCGTGACCAGCCAAGAACTTTACCTCCTTCTGAAGGCGAAAGTAAGCAATAAACGTGCAGATAACTAAACAAAACAAATAGCCATAGCCATTTGGTTGTGCCTTCTGAAGTGCGTGTGCGACTCATTAAACTAGTCGCCATGTGGGTTGCTACGCAATCCGACCAAATCGCCTGACACCTGCTGCGTCTATGAATATATGTCAATGCATGAATATGGCTTAAGGCTGCCCTCAGGATATCATAATTTATTCGAAGCAGCGATCAGCATTTAGCTTTAGCGAACAACCTATCAATAAACAGAATTTCATTGATATATTAAAAAAAAGAAAACAAGTTGAAGTGATTAAACAATTTATTTTGTTATTCCTTTAACATTAATGAATGAAATATATTAAAGTTTCACTATTAAGTTTCTTAGATATAACAATAAAAAGTCTAATTAAAAAGAATTTAAATGAAAACAGTAAGAGCAAAACCTATTAAGTCGGTGCTAGAAAAATACATTTATTCGAATTACATAAGTATTCAAAATATTGCTGATTATAAAAAACGAATTTGTATGTTTCCTTTAAATTATAAATGACCAATTAACGAAACTTCTTTGAAGTGACTTAAAAAGAATCAATATATTTAATATTATCTGCAATCGAATAAAACACACAGGTTCAAATTATCAGAATATGTGGGAATGCTAATAAATATAAGTGCGGTAAAAAGGTGAAAAAAAAAGTTATAAAAAGCAAAATACCATCACGCTTCAAGAGGAGAAAACTTCTTTGCTAGGAATGCACCATTTATCAGAGAAAAATCCTTGCTGACTAAAGGACCTGGAGATTGAAGTCTTAGAACGATGCTGATACTACATTTTTTAAATAGCTCAGAACTGGCATATAATTAAGAGAACAAGAATAATAGGTTTTCCGAAGAATGAAGTATAAATAATTCAGGAAAATTGAAAAAAAATTAATTGATTGTATTTGTTACTACTGCTTCATACAGTGATTTCGAACTGAAACATCGGTAGGGTTTTTTGAAAATCCAATGCAATTCACTTAGTTTCATCCATCTTCCTACAAAACCTAATTACGTGAAGCCTTAAGTAAAAATTCTTGAATGCTCACCTGAGCATTTAGATGGCTGTAGCTTCCAATGTTGCACCTAATGCGGCCAAGCTCTGACATCGGCTTATGCCACCGTTACCTGCTCGCTGCGCAGTAATTTCAAGGATTTTATGTGAAAAGCAATAAATTTGAGCGGAGCACACACTATGTTAGCGTTGCTGTTGGCTTTTGCCGTCGTCGTTGCTTCCGCTATTTATTGCAACAGTTTCCAGCAACAGTTTCAATATTGCGAGCTGATCGGCCGATTGCGTTCCATGCAGTACGGCTGGTGCCCCCAATATCCTTTACAATCTGCACGCATCAACTGAAATTTATTTATTTAAAGTTTTCGCTGCTGTTTAGGAACTTTTTAAGCCGCTTAAATTGCGCACAAGTCAAAATTCCACTTACTTTTACGGCTTAAGCTTTAATGCTGGATGGAGCCATGTGGCCAAACGGCCATGTCCTTGACCCTATTTAATGTAGCCATTGAACTGCAGCTAACTCAGACATTTGTCGTAAATGTTTGGGAGTGAATAACAGCAGCATATCAGAGTCTTCATCTCAGTCAATTGGCCAGGCAGGCCCACGCACATAAAAACGCACAAGACACGCAAAAGCGAGAAGAAGAAAAATGGAAGCGGAGCTAAAAAGCGCGTTCATTGCGGTCCTTGGTCCAAAAGGTTGCCTTTGTCTAAATTATTGCTTTGCTTGGCCTAATATAGAAATCATCGTAATTTTGGCTTCCATTCGACAGCTTAAGTTTAAATATAGTATATGCAGAAAATTGATTTGCATTTGAAATACAGAAACCAGTTTTCTATAGAAAGAGGGTGGATGTGATTTTGAAAATAATTTACAAGTTTACTGCTTCGGGATATTGTAATATTAAATTATTTAAACGGCTGTTGGGCTCACAATCAATGTTTTAGTGGCTTCAAAGATAGAAATTTTACCATTGGAAACACTTAGTTCTGGGGTAAAATATGTTTTATTTAAACCTAAACTCTACAGGATTCCATCTGATTTCAGAAGAAAATGTTTCTCAAATATGTTCAAATTTAGGAATGTTATATGCTAATGAACTACCAGAACATTTAAAGTTAACCTCCATCGCAACCCCCTCAATATAAATTGCTAGCACACCAAATATCAAATATTAGAGCGCTCCAGCATAAAGTTGTATCTCACATTGGCAGTTCCCTCGAATTTCGCCAACAGGCACTACAATTTCTTTGAAATAGTTTGCGCTAATGGCCTTGCCAAAGTTATCTATCAGTCTCGGCCAATGTACATGTGCAGCTCTCGCACGTCCCCCCTTTGTATTTACGGTCGTTTCAAATAATTGAAATGCTCGCTGTGCTGGCGATAGAGTGATGGCGGGGAAGGGGGCCGGGGTAGTCCTACTACGAATTCAATTGAAACGGCAAACAAATCGGCAAAGTGCGGCCGGCACGCTGCCGCAAAAGCATTATCGAGTGTAGGCGGAGCGCCTGAAACTATGCAAGCTGCAAGGTAAGCGCAAAACATTTCTAATTTCGGTTTCAATTGGGCAGATGCTGTTGATGTGGTTGTTGTTATGATGCTTGTTGTTGGTGTAAGAGCGCGAATGCAAACGGCTGCGCGTAAAATGCTGTGATAACATTTGTGATGCGAATGCACATTAGGTAGCCTTTGTAGTTGGACAAAAACAATTTAAAAATGGATTAATCAAGAGTATGCGAATGTTCCACATCTTTGAGGACG